CCAGAGAGTGCGTCGCGGCTGGCTGGACCCTCTGAGCCTCGTCCGGGGCCAGCACTGCGTCCGCGGGGGTCATAGACCGGCCGCCACGGGGCCCCTAGGCGGAGTCTTCCGAGCCTCTGCGACATGCGTGGCCTCGGCCCGCTGCTGCTGCCGAGGCAGGATTGTCGGATCGCTCCACACCAGGTGATTGAGCAAACCGTAAGTGACAGTCGGGCTGTGCCTCTGGAGGTCCACCTCACAGACAGCATCAGCCTCAGGCGTGTCACCTAGGAAGCAGGGGCGGTTCCCGGACCAGCCCTGAAGGCCTCCGCCAGGAGGAGGCGTGGCGGGGCCGCGGGAATCGGTGTCCGCCTGGGAGGGCGTAGGTGGGAACAGACTCGGAGTGCTGGGCTTGGGTCAGGTCCGCTGTGATCTGTGCCAAGTGCCCTTGTCACGCTGAAGGTTGTTGTTACTCTTCTCACATTACATTTTCACAGGCAAGGTGAGAACACCGGTTACATCCCCCACTCCCAGCCCCACCCCCAGAACTGGGGCTGAGACCCAGGGCCTTCAGCCCGAGTTACATCCTCAACCCTTTTGTAAGTTTTGATTTTGAGACAGGGTCTCGGTAAATTGCTATGCTGGTCTACAACTTGTGGTCCTCCTGCCTCAACCTCCCAAAGTGCTGAGATTGCAGGCCTATGTCACCACACCCGGCTGAAAGATACTTTTCTAATGGGGAGACAAAGAAAGAAAGGAGACATGGAATTATATTGAGACTTTTTGAATATACCAACGTTTTATTAAAATATAGTAAATAGAAGTTAAATTAAGTACAAGTTAAAATGTCAAATATACGTAAAGACAGTCTGGAACACTGCTCAGTAAATGGTGGTAGAACAATCTGCTATCAAAACAGGTAATAGAACAATGAAAGAATTTGCGTTAGTGATGACAGGGATTGTTTCATCTCTGACCCCAGTCAATCTTGTGGTTCTTCGTGTGTGTCCATATTAAGACTAAGTACTGTATGTAAGGAGGGCTGGGGCTGTAGCTCATTGCTAAAACAGCACCCACACACCCACAGTGTGTAGAGTAAAACCACCAGTGAGTGCTGAGCATGCTGTTGCACTGGCATATCATAGTTTGCTGCAACAAAAAGCATCTCTGTTTTGTCTTTGCTTATCAGTTTACCAGCAGAGAGGCACTTAAACCATTGCAGCAGTGGCATTTCATGATCTGGATAAATTACTTTTAGATTGCTGTAAGTACACAATACAATGGCCAGAGTTTTTATGTTTTTATATTGTCAGGCTGAGAAGAAAATTCAACCATGAACCCTTATTTATAAGGTATAAAGTTACCGAAGACTTTTTTTCCTTCCCCAAACCATTGAAATAACATTGGGTTTATTTATGGTTTCTGAAACTTAATTTTAAAATCAGAATTCTAAAAATAAATTTAACTTTGAAGTTGTAGCTTATAGCTTTTGTGTATCATGGCAACCAAACATCATGAAAAAACCTATCTATATTTAGACTGAAATATTTTATGTGTGTGTTGGTGGGACTGAGCCTCAGGGTGTCACGTGCTAAACATACACTCTATCACTGAGCTACATCCTCATCCTAGCCTTGGAATAATTTTTCTGTACCTAAACATGATTAAATGTATGCTTAAAAATATGGTTAATTGGGGTTGGGGATTTAGCTCAGTGGTTCTGCCACCTGCCTCACAAGCACGAGGGCCTGAGTTCCATCCCTGATACAAAAAAAAAAGACAAAAAAAAATGTTAAATGTAGGGCATGAAATGGTTGCTGGACCTTCACCGATCATTAAAACAGCGAAGAGACCATTGTGATTGACTTTATTCAGGAAATAGCATATAAAAGAATGAATGTCATATCAAAGATATGAAAGAATTCTAGCCACAAAATTCAAATTATTATACTTAGCAGGATTTTTGAAATACTGTATTGTGGTACTAATATTTAGTTTCCTTAAAAGTTCTGCTTATATACTGTGATGTTATTTGTTTTATTTTGTAACTACAGATAGTAATATTGTAAGAAAGTTAAAGAAAAATGTATGAAAGATTCAGTGTTAGTTTGGTAAATGATTATTTTGTGATTAAATTTTTTTCTGTTTAAGTAGGTAGTACATAAAGATTTCCAATTGTGATTTTTAAAATCTGATGAAAAAAATTGGGGGCCTTCATTAAAACAGAATTCCATTGTGCCTTTTTGCCTTTGAGTGGAAGAGACTTGTACTTTTCTAGACTGAGCTGAACTAGTATTGCTTTATCTAAACTAAATTGAATTTTGTTAATATGGTATGTCATGATTTAAATTTATGGCTGGGGATTTAGCTCAGTGGTGCCGCCACCTGCCTTGTAAGCACAAGGTCCCTAGCTCAATCCTTGATACCAAAAACAAAATAAATAAATTTAATGAGTTCAGTTCCTTTTCCTTATCTTTCATGAGATGTATGTGATTATTTTGCAAGCATAGCTTAGTTGTTGAAATACTAAAGCATTGTGAGTTGGTACAAATGGCCAACATTCACTGCTCTAAGCTGGACGAGAGAAGGAACTGATTCGCTGGGAGGATGGCAGAAACAAACTCAACATTGGTGATTGTATTTTGATTTTCACAGCAAGAAAAATTCCTACTGCTTTTAAATTAAAATGGAAAAATATGAGAACCTTGGATTGGTTGGAGAAGGGAGCTATGGAATGGTGATGAAGTGTAGGGATAAAGACAGTGGAAGGATTGTGGCCATCAAGAAGTTCTTAGAAAGTGACGATGACAAAATGGTTAAAAAAATTGCCATGCGAGAGATCAAGTTACTGAAGGTGAGTAAATGAGCTGTTTCTTGATCAAGATTAGCTTTACGGTTGTAGAAAAAAACTATCATGTCTTTATATTTATTTGCTTTGTAATTAATTTTTAAGATGTGAATTTCTTTTAGAGTAAGAAATAAAATTTCTTAAATTAAAAATTTTTGTGAACGTAAAAATTATTTTTAAAATGTTCGTTGTTTTGTTGTTTCTTCTGTCTGCCTGCCCATCAGTCATCATCTCTTATCTGTACTGGGGCCCCAAGGACGCGAGGGTCACTTAACCTTGGTGCACAGCTGGCCCACAGCTGCATCTGCATCGATGGCTGTGACTCCTCACAGGGAGAGGTGTGAAGCGGTCGGCCAGGGAAGAGGTACAGAGTCGATGGCTTCCTGGCTGTGCGTCCAGTGGTGTGCTGTTTTCTCCAGCGAGCAGTGTGACGAGGCGTGTGGAGACTGAGGAACCAGAGACTTGGCCTGGAGCTTGCCACAGTTCCTTACCCCTAGAGGGGAAGAACCTCCACACCAGTCCTGGAAATGAAATAAAAGCTCTCCCTGGAGACAGCCAAGGGCCACACTGTTATCTTCTCTATTGTGTGAATTTTTTTTTTTTTTTTTTTTTTTTTTTTTTTTTTTTTTTTTTTGGTAGCAGGACTCAAACTCGAATCCTTGCACTGGCAGCGGAACTGCTGAGCTAAATCCCTGGCCCTGAGTTTTGTTCTTTATTTCATTCCTCCTGCTTATTCTTATTTATTTTGCTGCTCTTGTTCCTAACTTGTTGAGCTAGTTGCTCCCTTCTTCCGTTTGCAGTGCCTCTTTTCTAATACGTGCACTTAAAGATATATTTTCTCTCTAGAAACAGTTTCATATGTATCTCAGAAATTGGATTACTAGTTCAAAATATTTTCTCATTTTCTTTATAGTTTCCTTGATCTGAGTTATTTTAAAGTTTCTTTTTTAGAATGTGTATTTCTTAATTTTCAAACATACTGAAAATTTCTGGGCTTTCTTCCCTTGGCTATTTATGGCACAACTGCCCTGTGCTCAGAGAAAAGACTATGTAAGAATGTATTTCTTTGAAATTTATTGATGTTTGGTAGAGGATATAGTCAACTAAAAAAAAAATCGCTTGTGATTTAGCTCAGTGGCATTGTGCCTGTCTGACAAGTACAAGGTCCTGAGTTTGATCCCCAGTACAAAAAAAAAAAAAATTGTGTTCCTCAGAAATATTCTATGGATGGCCTTTAGGTCATGTTTGTTAGTTGTGTGGTTCAAATCTTCTAAATTCTTTTTTAGGGGGAGGGTTTGAGACAAGGTCTTGCTATGAAGTTCAGGCTGGCGCTGAGCTCATGATGTAGCCCAGGCTGACCTTGAAATTGTAGTGATCCTCTTGCCTCAGCCTCCCAAGTACAGGCATTCACCACCACAGCTGGCTGCAATTGATCTGAATTACTGTGTATGGCACAGCCAAATCTTATGGGTTTGTTTCCTTATGGATGAATAGTTGTCTAAGAAATTTTTATTAAAAATAGTGTCTTTCCTCCATTGTTCTGAATGACCCTTTTGCTAAATGTTCTTATAGGGAGGTATAGTTTTTCTATTCTGTATATTCTCTTCTGTTGCTGTATTTGTCTAAATTCATGCTGCTGTCCCATAGTCATGTTTATTCTAGTTTAAAAGTTTTTATATCTGGTAGGATGAATCCTCCCATTTTGTCTTTCTTCTACAAAATTGCCTTGGCAATTTTTGTCCCTTTGCATTTCCACATGCATTTTAGAGTTAGTTTGTTAATTTCCACAAAAAAAAAACTAGGAATTTTATTGAATATGTAGGTCAGTATGGGGAGAACTGATTTCTTTACACTATTGTATCTTGTCCACAAACATTATATCACCTCTTTGTGTTTCGGTCTTCTTGTCTTAAAATACATATTGACTCTTTCCTCCTGCTAGGCCTTTCTTAGATGTGGGATTCATGTCTATGAGCAGACGCAGCTGGCTCTTCTTTTCTATCCAGTCTGGCAGCCTCTGTATGTCAGCTTTAGCTTTTTTTTTTTTTTTACAGTTAATGTACAGTACTTATTTATATATTTGGATTTATGTTTGTCATCTTCCTGGTTCCTTTCTATATTTTCTGATTTTTAAAAAAATTATTCTTTTACCAGTCTTTTAGAGATCATATGAGATTTCATAGTGTTCATTTAGTTTCCAAATAGGCCCTTCTACGATGTAAGAGTCCTTGAGATGTTAACTCCATTTGCTTTGTCCTCTTGTCTCTCGGCCCCACTTGTGGATTTCTGTTTCATCACTGGCATGTATTTAAACTCTTTATGTAGTTAAATCTCTCCCCAAGTTATTCACAGTGTTTATTAGGATAAATCTCTTCCATTTGCTCTTCAGTCTTCTCTCCATGACTTAGCTTCTATGGGTTTAAAGTATATCTTTCTTTTCTTTCTTTCTTTCTTTTTTTTAAACTAAGTCTGCTGGTAAGGAATGCTGTTTCTGTAAAAGAATTTTTATTCTGCTTTGTGTTTCAAATACTGTGTCTACAGGATGTAGAACTCTGAATTGGGGATGCAGGATATGCATGATTCCACTGGCCCCTGTTGCTTGTGTTGAAGAGTCAGCTATCAGTCTTACGTTTTTTGTTGTGTGTCTTGTTTGTGTGGTTCATTTTATTTTTGAGACAGGGTCTCGCTACGTAGTCTAATCTGGCCTTGAACTTGATGATCTAGACTGAACAGACTGATCTAGAACTTGAGAAGTTGTCTCAGCCTCTAAAGTCCTGGTTGCAGGTGTGCACCACCATGCCTGTTTTGTTTTAATATGTTGTCCAAACTGTCCTCAAACTCCAGACCTCAAGTAATCCTCCAGTCTCAGCCTCTGGAGCAGCTGGAACTAGAGGTGTGTAGCAACATGGCCAGTTTACTGTGCTTCTTTTTTTTTTTTTTGGACCAGGGATCAAACTCAGGTCCTTGTGTTTGTGAGGCAGGCGGCAGAACCACTGAGCTAAATCCCCAGCCCTACTGTGCTTCTTAACAGCAGACTCTAATTCTTATGTCTTGCTGCTGGGCAGCTTGAACCACTGTTGGTATGTACATGTGTGATTGTCCCATTGGGTGGCTTGTACCACTATTGGTACAAACAGATCTAATCACTTCTATCGGTTGTTTTATTAATAAAATCAATAAAAAGCCACCTGATGGGACAGTCATGCATGTGCCACCAGTGGGAACATGTTAGTGTCCTTTTTTTTTGTACTGGGTATTGAACTGGGTCCTTGTGCTTACAAGGCAGGCGGCAGAACCACTGAGCTAAATCCCTGGCCCTAGTATCCTTTTTTATTCTGGGTGGTTTTAAGGTTTTCTCCTTGGCTGGTTTTTAGCCATTTTCTAATACTGCACCCAGGTGTTATGTCATTGTGTTTACTTTGCTTCAGTTTTGTGGCTCTTGCACCTATAAGACAATGTCAGTTGCCATTCCTACGAAATGCTTAGCTATTTTGCTTCACGGCCCCAAGTGTCCCTTCTCAGTTCTCCCTTGGAGAATTTACTTTCATGTGTAGCTCTTACTAGAAGTCTTTTGTTCTCTTCTGGGTTTTTCCTCTTTTCATTTGCATGTGCTGTTCTAGATTTTTTTTCTGACCTGTCCTCCACTTTAGTACTGTTTCAGTCAACCCTAATTTACTGGTAACTTCAACCATGATTCACTGTTTGATTTTTTTTTTTTTCAAACACGGGGCCTTGCTCATGCTAAGCTCATTGTTACCCAGCCCAAGCACTGAGTTCAGTCCTTTTTTCTTCCTCCCTTCCTTCTTTCCTTCCTTCTCTCCTTTCTTCCTTTGTCCTTATTCATTTGTTCCTTCCTTTCCTGCCTGAAATAGGGTTTCACTAGTCTAGGTTGGCGTGGAACTTGATATGTAGCTCAGGCTGGCTTTGAACTCATGAGATCCCCCTGCCTCAGCCTCACATGTGCTAGGCTCACAGGTGTGTTCCCTTGTGCCTGGCTCCAACCATTACTTTATGGTTAAATATATATCCATTTGATTCTTATATTTTCCAGTTTTCTACCCAAATTCTCTTTAATCTATTTACATAATTTCCTTTTTATCCAATGACTGTGTAATCTGCATCTCCTATATATATTTTTTCATCTTCTATATATTTTAAAACCTTTTCTATTGTTTTTATCAAATCTTAATATGCTTTCATTAATTTTCCAAAAATGTAGCTATAATCTGAATCTCCAAACACAGCCTCCTCCTTAAGATTAGTCCTCTGAAGCTTCTTTTTTGAGACAGGTTCTTACTTTGTAGCCCAGTCTGGCCTCAAACTCCAGCTTTTCCTGCCTCAGCCTCCTGAGTGCTGGGATTACAGGCGTGTGCCTGGTGATTTTGAGGGCTTTTAGGCCCATCCCTAAGGGGATGTCATCATTACCTTCCTCCATCTTCCTCGATGGCGCTTGGACACCGTAAGGCCATCAGGAGCCGTGTGACCTTGAGATCCCTTTCTCATTTGCGTTGTCTGGACTGAAGTGAAGATGGCCTTAGTTGCTGGCTCCTTCCCTGGGTTTGTCTTTCCCAGGTCATAGTCTGTTCTTCTCTCTCTAGTCCCCGAAGGTAGTTGTTTTGCATATTATCCAGGTTTTCTGCCTCTACTCCATGGAAGATTCCTACAAATTCTTATCTGCTATTACTGTAAACAGGAATTACTGTATTTCTCCATTCTAGAATTTTTATTTGGGTCTAGAAGCTGTTGTGTTACTTTTTTTTTTTGGTACTGAGGATTGAATTCAGGATCCTGGGCTTGCCAAGCAGATGCAGTGCCACTGAGCTATATCCCCGGCCCTGTTGTGTTACTTTTTTTGTTGTTGGTGGTGGTTTTTTTTTGAGACAGGATCTCAGTAGTAGTTGAGACTGACCTGAAACTCACTATGTAGCCCAAGCTGGTCTCAAATTTACAGTGATCCTCCTGCCTCAGCCTCCTGAGTGCTGGGATTACAGGTGTGGGCCACCATGCCCAGCCTTGTGTTACTTTTTATGATACCATTTCAACTTTTTGAGGTTGGCTTTTTCTTAAAAGTACAGTAATCTATGTCTGATAATTCCAACATACAAAGTCATTCATTGTCTGTTTTTATTGCAGTTTTCTGATGTTTCTTACGCTGTTTTATTTCTTTGTATGCTTGCTTTGCTGGACACTACGTTTGAAAGATTTTGTTAGGAATCATTTAACAACAACTTTCTTCAGAGAGGTTTCTATTTTCTTTTTTTGTGTTCCTGGGCACTGTGCCACTAATTAATTGTTTTTATTTATTTATTTATTTATTTATTTTTTGAGACAGGGTCTCACAATGTAGTTGAGACTGCCCTGGAACTCACTATGTAGCCCAGGCTGGTCTCGAACTCACAGCAATCCTCCTGCCTCAGCCTCGCAAGTGCTGGGATTATAGGTGTGCACCACCATGCCTGTCATCCATTAATTAATTTATTGTGACCACCATCCCCTTCCCAGTAAAGCTGAATCCTTGGTGGTGGCTGGGGATGCTTCTAAGTTGTTACTTCCTTTTTGTACACTTCACTTCACTGGTAAAAGTATGGATAGAAGCAGCTCTGTATTTACTGTTTTAACATTTCCCTCAGGCAGGTGTGGTGGTGCATGCCTGTTATTTCAGCTACTCGGGTGCTTGGGGCAGGAGGATTGCAAATTCGAGGCCAGCCTGGAAAACTTAGTGATACTTTACCTCAAAATTAAAATTTTACGAAGGACCAGGGGCGTAGTTCAGCAATGGAGCACCCCTAGGTTTAATCTTCAATACCACTAAAAAAAAAAAAAAAAAAAAAAAAAGTCCCTGAGTCATGTTTTGGCCTTTTAGTAATTCACTACCTTTGCTAGTTAACACTTCATTGTATTAAAATTTGATTTACATCATTCTAGTTTCTCTCTGATGCAGACACTTCCAGTTCAGGCCTTATCAAGTTCACAGTTCTTGAGTTCTTGCTTATGATGTCTTGTTCCCTTGTGTGTCTCGTATGTCACCTTTGAAGATTTATTTGTGGAAACCTTTGGAGGCTCAGGTAAAGCCATCTCCCTCCAAAGATGATACTGCTTCAGCCAGGTGCCCAGAGCTCCCAGTCTACGCGTTAACCACGTCCAGGATTGGAACCCTGAGTCACTACAAGGGTGGCATCTGGCAATGCCGTGTTCATTTTGGCCGGGTATACTTTGCAGGGTGTCACTTTTAGGGTCCAGCTTCATTGGAGGTGGTTTCTCCAAGGTCTCCTCTTAATGACTTTTGCCTTTTAACCCCACAGGGTCACAAAAGTTAGTTCTACACCTGTTGCTTCCTGGCAAAATCAGCTTTGAGCCCAGAGACTGTCACTCTGAGTTTTCCTGTTCTTGACTTAGGCCCAGGAATCTTTACTCTCTTAAGACCGAGCTTTTTTATATGTTTCAAAAGATTTTTTAAAAATTCATCCCACTGAATAAGAATTCCCTGTTGGAGTTGTTTAGTCTGTCAACACCGGAGGAGGTGGGCTGCTTTTAAAAATATAAATACAGTACCAAGATAGGGCCTGTGGAACTGTGAGTCTGTTTTAATGATTGCAGGACAGAGCAAGGAGGATTTTATGTGTGGTAGGGAAAGGGATTTTTCCTGATGCAGTAGTCTGGGTTATTTTTTTTTTTTTTTTTTTTTAATGAAGAGGACGGAGTGTTATACTCTGGGAGGCTGAGGCAGGAAGATCACAAGTTTGAGCCTAAAACCCAGGCAACTTAGTGATGTAGCAAGATTTTGTCTCAAAATAAAAAAATTGAAAAAGGGCTGGGGACATAGCTTAGTGCAAAGGCCCTGGGTTCAATTCTCAGTACTAAAAAAAGAGAAATGTTTTATCCTATTAGAAATGCTCTAAGACAGTCTTAATCAAACAACTGACATAATGTCATTTTCTTCATTTGCTAAAACAGTTCATTAGAGATTGTTCTATCAGGATATAAGACAACTTGTGAAATGAAGGTGTTTTATTGATGAACTGTGATTATGAATAGGTTTTCCTATGATCCTGTATTTCAAATTAGCTTTTAAATCTTTGAACTTTTTTTTTTTTTCAGTTTTTTGAAACAAGGTCTTTCTGTGCATTTCAGGCTGACCTTGACCCACTGTGTAGCCCAGGCTGACCTGGAACTCAGAGCAATCCTCTTGCCTCATCCTCCACAGTGCTGGGATACAGGTGTGCACCACCATGCCTGACTAAATCTTTGAACTTCGAACTCTTGGAATGGAAAACTATATTTTTACGTCTCTTTAAAAAATGGGGGGGATATATTTTCTTCTTTTCTCTAAAAATAAGGCAACTCCAAAACCTTCCCCGGGCCTCCACCCTGAGAGCTGTAGTGTAGGCAGGCAGTGTTTTGATGTGGGTCTGGCACCCTCTCGGGCGCGTTCTGTGGGTGAGGAAAGGCCACATCTGCTTGCCAGTCATAACTTACTGTCCGGATTTAGCTCCCTCTCCTCTCAGCTGTGTCAGAGGATGTACTGCTATCCTCAGACAATAGCAGGTGGGTTTGTGACACTAACGTCGAAATGGGAAGTGCTCACTCTAGCCAAAGCATATGCTTCTTTAATGTTGACACCATTTATACTCCTTACCTCCTTTTTAGTGGTAAATGTTTATCTGAGTTAGAAAAGTCAGAGGTCTCAGGTGGGGTGCATTAGTGTGCGGCACTGTGCTGTGGTGGGACTGCACTGGCCAGGTGACCGCTTAGAACAATGCCTGGGGCCAAGTCCGCATTGTGTTGTCAGAGTTAGTACAGACGATGTCACACTGTGTTGTTTCTTTAAAATACTTTTTATGGCCCTTGAATTTCTTACTTTATATTATTGTGTTTCCTCTGGTCACTTGAAAAGGTTTTATTTTTAAGTTGATTACCTTTATAATGTTAGCAGTGTACAATATGTGTCCTACTTTATAAAGTAATTATTCTATTTCTTCCTCTAAAGTGCCTCTTAATCTGATACTAGAATATATCTCATGTTAGTGTTTATCAATACACTTTTTGTTGTTGTTGTTGTTACCGGGGATCGAACTCAGGTCCTTGTGCTTGCAAGGCAGACAGCAGAGCCACTGAGCTAAATCCCCGGCCCACATTCGGAATTTTTTTTCTGTTATGTTTTACATAAATGACAGTTGAGTTGGGTATCTTGTCCTGTGGATCACCAGGTCTTCAATTTTGAGATCTACATTCCTTTCAAAGGTGGCAGTATATTTTGTCTTTTCCTTTTGGTGAATGTTAATCTCTATTTGCGTTCCTTCTTGTTTCTTTGAGTACCTTTGAGTGAATCTGGACTGGTTCTGTATTGCTTCTTGTCTTATACTACAGTGGTCCTTCTGGGTCCAGCTGATAGGGGGGGTTTCCTGGACAGAGGCCAGGATTTTGTCCCAAGCTAGCAGGACCCACGAAAGCTCATGGTGATGTCCCTCAGGACTCTGGTGGATGGGGCTGAATTCTCTGAGACACATAGTTGCAAGTTTGTTTCTAATGACTCATTTGTGTCTCCTCCTATGGTCATTCTGGCCAGGGGCTTCTGTAAGGCTGCCTGTTAAGCCCCCCTCCCCACTGTCCCTCAGTTCCAGGAATCTTTCCACATGGTGCCTGTGAGCACCACACCCATGACAGCAGTGACGTGTGTGTCCCTTCCAGGCTGGGCCACATCTGCAGGCTCACAAGCTTGCCTGCCTGGATGCATGGGCTTCCACCCCATTCATTGTTGGGAGGGGCTCAGGTCTCTGCTGTTTCATCGGGGTTAAAGGTGGGCTTCTCTTCCTCGTTCACTGTATTGCATTCTCTGAGAGGAGAAAGGAGCAGTTTGGTCTTTTGATTGTATTTAAAAACCAGAATATACTTTAAAAGTGTACAGTTTATGCATTTTATCTATACATTTGTCTATTTTAGCTTGTGACTAATTGCTAATAATTTATTCTTATAAAACTGTTTTGCATTTTTATAACAGCAACTGAGGCATGAGAATTTGGTGAATTTGTTGGAAGTGTGTAAGAAGAAAAAAAGATGGTACCTGGTCTTTGAATTTGTTGACCACACAATTCTTGATGACTTGGAACTCTTTCCAAATGGACTAGACTACCAAGTAGTCCAAAAATATTTATTTCAGATTATTAATGGAATTGACTTTTGTCACAGTCACAATGTAAGTATTAAGTAATTTCTTTTCTTTTTTTGAGACAGGGTCTCACTGTGTAGTTGAGACTGCCCTGGAACTCACTATGTAGCCCAGGCTGGTCTTGAACTCACAGCGATCCTCCTACCTCAGCCTCCCAAGTGCTGGGATTACAGGCATGTGCCACCATGCCCAGCTTTTTAAGTAATTATTTTGTTAATCCTTGACTATCCAGACAGCAGTAACTTAATTTAGACATTTGTTTAGACTAAAGTTTGAATCAGTAAAACAATTAAAATGAACCACATTACTTTGTATTACCAGTTTTCATGTCATGATACCTGTATTCTTTCCTCTCTACACTTTACTTTGAAAATTTTCCATAACCTGGACATGGTGGCACATGCCTATAATTCCCCACTTGGGAGGCTGGGGCATGAGGATCGCTGTGAGTTTGAGGCCAGCCTGGGCCACATAGTGAGTTCAGAGCCAGCCTGAACTACGTAATGAGATCTTGTCTCAAAACAAACAAACAAACAAATAAATAAATTTAGGCCATACTGAAAAGTTGAGAGGGTGCAAGGTGAATATCCATATTTCTACAATCTGAATTCTGAACTCATTAACATTTTGCTGTATGTGCTTAATTGAATATTTATTCATCTGCAAATCTGAATTATTTATGCACGTGGAAGTTGCTGACAGCAGTACACTTTTCAACACTAAGCATTTCATCTGTGTGTATCAAAAATAAGCTTTAAGTACTTTTTTTAAGGTAACATTTACCAAGTGAAGCAACACAGATTTTCAGTGTTAGGTTTTGACATATACACACTCCAAGGATCTGTGTATTTATTTATTCAGGTTCTCTTGCCTGGTTATAAAGTATGAAAGCATGAAGAGTCTTTCCTCTTCTAGTTTACTGAAATAATTTAAAGTCTCTGGAATGCCACAGAAAAAAACACTTCCAGGAAAAATGACACCTATTGGGTAAAAATGAATCACACAGCACTTATTCTACCAGTTTTACAAAATCTTAACGCATTTTGTATGTTTGGGGAAGTAATAAATGCTAGTACTAGAAAATTCGAGCCCTAAAGAGGCTCATAATGGGTGTCTTCAAAGAGGGCTCATCCCCAAGAGCAGGTGGCTACAGCCTGCATGCCTCTGCACCAGCCCCGATTGCCAGTAGAGTGGGGCACGAAGCAGCTCCGCTTCGCTCTTGAGGAGCATTGGACTACATTCAACCTGTGCCTACCCTGTGTCCTTTATTTGTGACACTCTCGTGGTTGATTGGCCCATGTTGCGTGACATATTCTGCCTTTCGATGGACTGTATGAGTCAGCAGCATCGAGGGAAGTTTGCTCGTGTGTGTGTGCTGCTCTATCTTTAAGGCAGGGGATGTTACTGTCTGGTGGCTCCCTGCGTATACTCCAGCGCGTGCCTGAACCTATTTAGACTCTGTGCAGTGCAGATTGTTATAAGGAGAGGACTGAACGCTCTCTAATTTATGACCACTTACACCAAGGAGCTTCAGTGCCTTGCAGGGCAGCCATGCTGCCGTTGCTTAGTCCACCCACTTTCAAACCCTTCTACATTACCATCTCACAGCCCTTCTCTCCACACCTCTGTCTCCTCTTCTCCATCCTCGCTCTCAGTCCTCTGTGCAGTAGAAATAATATTAGCATCAGTCTCAGGTTATTGTATGGACAAAACCAAATATTTAAAATACTTGATATGGTATCTGACACGTAAATGGCCAAGTGTTATTTATCCTTACTGCTATTAAAAGTGTATCCTAAGATCTTGCTTTCTTGGCAGTTAACAAAATTATGGTGGGGGAGAGAATAATTAAACATGCATGCTACACACACACTCAAGGTTGAAATGTCTGAATTTAAGAAAATGAAAACATTCTTAAAACATGCTATTGGTGTATGTATCTACATGTGTGAACACTTTAATATAAAAAAATTAAAACTTATTTAATCTTTTGTGAGCCGGCTGAATTAAAAAAAACTTTTAAAATACTTAAAAAAATTAAGGCTATTAATTCAAGTTTGACTTAAATAGTATAGGACATTAAGAGGTATCTGTAGGGCTGGGCTGGGGATTTAGCTCAGTGGCTCAGTGGTTCCACCACCTGCCTTGCAAGCGCAAAGACCTGAGTTTGATCCCCAGTACCAAAAAAAAAAAAAAAAAAAAAAAAAAACTAAAGATTTTTGCTGGAGTTACTGGGTATAATTAATTTACTGAGATCATAACTGGTGTTGAAGACCCATATCAGGGCCTGTCCTTTTTTAAACATTTATTTTATTTTAGTTTTTGGTCCTGGGGATCGAACTCGGGACCTTGCCCTTGCAAGGCAGGTGGCGAGGGCCTGTCCTTCTTATAAAAGTTCTCTGGCCACTCCAGTGTGCAAAGAGAGCCGTGGTGAAGTTCTGCTCATTCTGGCTTGGTCCAGCATAGGTTCTGTTGTGGTTGAGAGGGAACACGACAGTCCTGTACTTCAGGCCCCTTGTTTAGGGTGTGAGGGAACAGGCCCAGAAAGACTTGCTGTGACTGAAAGTCCAAGACAAGTGCCACTTCCCTGCCTCTGAGTCAGCTGCTGTTTCTACTGCACAGTTGGCCTGGCCTAGACCTGTGTCCCCACCACTGACACCTAAGGGAACAAACGTTGCTCTGCAGTGATAGCTGGCCATTTACCATGCTGGCCTTTTGAAAGGGTTGAATACAAATGGTTAAAATTCTCAAAATACACTTATATCACAGGATTAGGCCTAATAATTTGATTTGTCTGGTGCAGAATTTTTGATCCTATCTCTACCTCTTGCCTCTGCTCCCAGAGTTCCTCCTGTAGCAATCCTGACCTGCAAATGGACTTTTCGTGGGTAGCTCTAGTCAGGTCATAGAACCCGCACATTGGCCTTGCACATCCATGTCCCCTCTCTCAGCTTCCGCCTAGGAGACACAGCCCCAGTCCTGATCCAATCCTGGCTGTGTCCTCCTCTCCATGCTAGTCCACCTGGCTCCCCCTCGGTCTCGCATGCACAAACCCTCTTCAGGGAGAGCCTGACAACAGTCATTAACTGGACACTTGATTAGTTAATTAATGTGTATTTGATTCCTATCTTTTAGTGGTTTCTTGCCCAACTGGATCCCAGGTTATTGAAAGCCAGCACCACTTATGTGTTTCTTTGTATTTAGAGGATCAGAAATGACACTCCTCTTTGCAGTGCCCCAGATCCTCTCTATCTTACCTTGCTGTGCTCTGCTCTTTTTCTCTTAGATCATACACAGGGATGTAAAGCCAGAGAACATTTTGGTGTCCCAGGCTGGCGTGGTGAAGCTGTGTGACTTCGGGTTTGCACGCACACTGGCCGCTCCTGGGGAGGCCTACACTGACTATGTGGCCACCCGGTGGTACAGAGCACCTGAGCTGTTGGTTGGAGATGTCAAGTACGGCAAGTAAGGTGCCCACATGCAGTAGCAGAATTATCTGCTGATGCTGAGAAGAGATCTCGAGTGTGTGTGGGGTGTTATAAAATGAGAAGGGGGCTGTCACTCGTGTCCCTCATTGTAGTACGCTAGCCAGGCGTGTACAAGGGGAACGGGTGAAAGATAATTGAGGGAAATATTTTTAAAACCTAAACTGTTAAGCCAGGCATAGTGGTACACACTTGTAATCCCAGAAGTTGAGAGGCTCAGGTAGGGAGGATCATGAGTGTGAGGTCGATCTGGGCTGCATAGCAAGGCCTGTCTCAAAAGAGAAGCCTTCAGAAGTCAGTTCTCTTCTCTTCTCTCCACCCCACCCCACCGCCCCCTGCTTCTTGTGGTTGTGAGGATCTAAAGCCCTAATACAGGCTGGGCCACTCTGCTACTGAGCCACACCCCCAATTCTTCAAAAGAGACTAACCTTTACTGCTTTTTTTTTTTTTACTTAAAAATTTTTAAAAATTAATTTTATTGGTACTGCTTCGTTTTTTGTGTTTGTTTATTTTTGGCTTCTTGAGTTAGGGTCTTACTATGTACTTGAGGCTGGCCTTGAACTCACCATGTAGCCCAGGCTGGTCTTGAACTGGCTACATCTTTCTGCCTCAGCCTTCAGAGTGCTGGGATTACAGGTGTGCACTACCACACCCAGAGTTTTTTGGGGTTTTTTTTAGACGGGTTCTCACTATGTAGGATGACTTTGAATTTGCAATGATTCTTCTGCCTCAGCCTTTGTTGCTTTTATTAGAAATCTTTCTAAAATATTTTCTACAACTGCTGTTTTCAGCGTACATTAAATATCCTTCAGTATTTTCTTAAATACTTTGAATTCTCGATTTACTGCCTTGCTATAAATTTTGTGCCATTTTATAATTCAGAAATGACCTCATGCAACTTCAAGGTTGTTGTTCCTACACTAAATGATGCTAGCAAATTCTTTGATTCTTGTGAGTGATTTTTTTTTTTTTTTTTTTTTTTTTTTT